CTTTCAGCCGCAGGGGCGTTATAATATGTGACAGTCAATCCCACTGTTCGTTGGTAAAAGAGTAGCCCAAGAGTTGGTGGTGGGTGGTGATGACTAGCTGCCTTCCCTCTAGTCTCACACTGCTAAATTAGGGACGGCTAGCGCAGATAGCCCTCGTGTAGCTTTGCGCGAAATTAAAAAACAAACAATATATTTCTTAGTTTTTTTCTAAAGAAACATTTGATAACTATCTGGACATTATAAAGATTTTGTATGTGAAATTTGAAAATTTTCTGATGCATAAAAGTATTTTTAATGTTACAATGAAAATTACTTTGCATAATAGATAGGCAAGATGTGAAAAGAAAAAAAAAGGGATGAGAGAAACATTGTTTTAAAAACCTTAAAAGTTAATAAAAAAAATTTGATATTTTGCATATGAAAGCATTATAATGTTTATTGGTAATCTGCCAAATCTCGTTAACAATCGCTTACTAATTTAAAAGTTATAGCATGAAAACTATAACAAGCACAAAATGGTTACAAGGTCGGTCCCACGGACCGAGCCCGGGTTGAAAGAGTTAAGTAAATAAAATTAAATGTACAATAATAAAAGTAGGCTTAAATTTCATCAACAGTCAGTATCAAAAAACAAGAAGTCAAAGGTAAGTATTATATTTCTTGTTTTTCATGTGTATTCTATAATTATTTTTTTATAAAAATAACTAAAATGTAAAAAATAGAAACTTGTCAGGATAGATTAGATAAAATAATGAGAAAAATAATAATAAAAAAATATTCATAAGATATGCTCACAAGCAGTATGGTAACATGAGCTATGCATTTGCTGACTGATTTAAAGAGAAATAAAACAATAAGTATAAACAAATGTAGACTAATTGACAATTGTAGTATCCTGTTTACAACCTGCAGTCATTCTAGAATAAAAACGGGTAATATAGATTTATTTATTTTTTTATGGTGGTTACATGGTCAGAATCAAACCAATGTGTATAGGGAAAATATAAAGTTTTACTGAAAAAATATATTACATTTCTTAAGGAGGCTTTAGAGATTACCCAAATGAAATATGACAATATTCAGATTAGGCAAAGTATTTTTGATTTTAACATGAAAATTACTTTCCACTTGGAGGAGTGATGATTAAATTTGAAAATATATATATATATATATATATATTAATTTTGAGCATTAAAGTTTTTCGGTATACCTTGTTTTTTAATGTTTCTTGTAATACTTGTAATCCACCTTATGAATTATTTTAACTTGCAAATATATTTAATATCACCAGTTTTCTTGCAAAATAGTAAATGTTGTATTGTCTTTGTTTTTCTCAGAAGATCAGAGTGAATTTGTTTTCACTGAATTGTATATTATCTATCACACACTTTAACAAAAATCTTTACTACTGGGACAGCAATATGTCTATGGACTTGTTAAATTCTGGAGTTTGATTCCTTGTGTTGGACACAGCCCAATGTGGCTTTGTGATAAGATAAACAAACAATACTAGTTTTATTACTTGAAACCTAAGGACTATTACGTTTAATGTTAAATAATTTTATTTTATAATAGAGTTATAAAGCCAGCTATCCCAGTTCTCTGTAACAATGTTATACTATTCTTTAGAACAATTATTATATTCACTATAAATGTTCCAATTTTCCACAACAGTACCATACTTTTTTTTTCAATGTTATTGACTGACTGCTCATGCAGCTTGCTTGAGGACTTGTTTATATGAATGGGCAAAATACAGTGAAGAGAAATTATGTGAATAATCAATTATTGATTTATCAGTAAGTAAATTCCGTTAACTACCCAGCTGCGGTGCTCCACATGAACATTTTCTCTCCCACCCTGAGATATGCCATGGTTGCATATCATGATTATCTACAGTGGCATGAAGCTGATGAGATAGGAAATTATTAAAATATGTAACATAGAACCTGTTATGTGATTGTTAGCAATATAAAACAAGTCATCTTTGTTTTTGTGTTTATTTGATATACCAAGTTATAGTCAAAAAAGTTGGTTTTGTATCAAACTACCAAATGTGCTTACAAATTGCTTTTTTTTGGATACAAGTGAAAACATGATTTACTGAAATGTGTGTGTGTGAGAGAGAGTATGGGTATTTGTGTTTTATGGTTTTGTCATACCCGTGACTGGAGATGTGGCCAAGATTTAAAATAGACTAGGTGATGTTAATCACCTTTAAGTAATAAATATATTGTGAAATAAAATACCCATTTAAAAACTAAAATAGAAAAATGGATTACAGATGTGTTTAAATGTTTACTGTTCAATTATATATTCATCTTTATATTGATAAAAAAAAATTACAATAAAAACTTGTAAACTCACAGTGACAGTCAATTAAAGTCTGTTTTGTCAGAAGTGATTGTATTAAAAACTCTATTACTAGGTATGGTTATATGATAATGTTCAGTTATAAAGTGCAGCACTTGAATTGCCAGTACTGCAGCTGTTACTCTATTCTAGTGATGTGTTATGAGATACATATATAATACTTGATAAAGGAACTTTTGGAGTCTAACGTTGTTCCATAAAGCCCATATACCTACTTAGTAGAACTTTATATTTATAGCTCTGATTTTTTTTTCAGATTGTTGGTCTAACAGAACTACCGGTTAGCAGTCCAGAGCAGACGTTGAAGCTACTTGAGCAGGGATCGTTATGTCGAACCACAGCATCCACAAACATGAATGCACACTCATCTCGTTCTCACGCTATATTCACTATAATTGTAGAACAACGTAAAAAGGATGATTCAGGAGACTCTGTTACTGCAAAATTTCATCTTGTTGATCTTGCTGGCTCCGAAAGGGCAAAGAAAACTAAGGCTCACGGAGAGAGATTTAAAGAAGGTAGCCATAAACCGTGTTTGAATTTCATATTTACAAGATCATTGTATTCATTATTAGTTTTTTTAATGAAGAGTGCAAATTTTCAATTACCTTATCAGTTATTTTGCCTCTGTATGAACAATCAAGCTAATCATGGTTTGAATTTAACTTCCTCTTTTGTGGTAATGTTCTCTAGTATAAGTTCCCTAGTTTTTCTAGATATCAAGTCCATATACACATTTACACATGTTAAGTATTTATACTATAACATTTACTACATTATGTGTGTCTTCACAAAATTTGGAAAAACTTTTGGGAAACATTACAAGTCTTTTGTACACAAAAAAAAATATTTTTTTTTAATGAAGTATTTTTACAAAAGATTTGTTTGTGAATATATCAAGTCTGTTTTGTTACTGGTGTGAATGTAAAGTCATTTTCATGTATACTATGTTTTATCCAAAACTTTTCAAATTTCATTTGGACAATCTCTAAAACCTCCTAAATACATTTCAAACTTTTGTTTTCAATAAAACTTTATAATTTTTATGTTATTTTCTCTACCCTAACTGTATATAAGGATGGTTTAATCTGTACTGGTTTGGTCGATTTGACTGATCTCATACCACCATAAAAAAAAAATTAGGAAATTAATATAAATTATG